CCCCCCCCGCCCCGGCTCAGGCCTCTCGGATTCCGCGCTCTTTACGTATCTGCTGGCCTCGCGCAGTGCTGACCGAGTCCTGACAGAGTACTGACACACTACTGACCGAGTCCTGACTGAGTACTGACTGACTACTGACCGAGTCCTGACTGAGTACTGGCTGAGTACAGACTGAGTCGCACAGTACACGGGAGAGTGCCACCGCCCCGCCCCGGCTCAGGCCTCTCGGATTCCGCGCTCTTTACGTATCTGCTGGCCTCGCGCAGTGCTGACCGAGTCCTGACAGAGTACTGACACACTACTGACCGAGTCCTGACTGAGTACTGACTGACTACTGACCGAGTCCTGACTGAGTACTGGCTGAGTACAGACTGAGTCGCACAGTACACGGGAGAGTGCCACCGAGTTCCACTGCACAGTACGGGTGCACTCGCGCACACGCAGCCACACACGCATGCACGTAGAATGGAAATAACTAATTAATTACAAATAATAGTATTTAGAAATTGCATAGTGTACGCCCACAGTCCAACAGGAAAGAATTCCATGACACACGTGACATACGATTACATTTCCACAACACACATGACATGGAGTTACGTTTCCACAACACGCATGGCATACAGTTACATTTCCATGACGTGGCATAGTTACATCTCCTCAACATGACATAAATTACATTTCCATAACACGCATACAATTACATATCCACAACACACGTGACAATTACATTTCCATAACACCTGACATGCAATTACATTTCCATGACACATGTGACATAAATTACATTTCCAGCCTGGTGTGGTATCCCAGCACTCGGGAGGAAGAGGCAGGCGGATCTCTGAGTTCAAGGCCAGCCTGGTCTACATAGTGAGTCCAGGACAGCTGGGGCTACAGAGAGACCGTGTCTGAAAAAGACCAAAAAATAAAAAATTACATTTCCATAACACACGTGACAAATGATTACATTTTCATAACACATGACAGTTACATTTCCGTAACATGTGACAATTACATTTGCTTAACACACATGACGTACAATCGCATCGGTGACACTGCAGGTCACACGAGGCAGAAGGGAATTTGCTGACATGCTTCTACATGACGTATGATCATACTGTTCGATGTCACACACATGTAGATTAATAAAATTGCATCATGTGAAGAATGTGTGGCTACAGTCCACGTCACACGACTCTTTAGAAGGATGAAATTCAGTATTGTACCTGTCATCCGTACACAGCTACGTTGTGGTGTCCAGTATCACTTCGTCCTATGAAACAATGACGCTCCGTGCAATAAAAGTCAGTAAACCAGAACCTACATCGTACGGTCCCATAAGTCCACGATCACGCGTGGCCAGATGCCACCTGACCCTGTGGTGCGTTTTTCCACGTCCTCACGTGATGCCTGGATGGTCCCCAAAATTTGGGGTCTGTTTCCCACACGGAGAGCGAACGAGGCTTCTCCCGTTAGGTATGAGTCACCGAAAGGCCCACCCGTTGAAAGCTTGCTACTGGGGGAGGGGGGCTCAGATATGCTCCACCCGGTGCTCCCATGATGCTCTGCCTCACCACAAGGCCACAGGCACGGAGCCAAGTCACCATGGGCTAACGCGTCGGAAACCATGATCCAGCACTGAGCCTTCGCGCCTCTAAGTTGATGTCCTCAGGTGTTTTGTCACAGTAACAGCAAGTTGAGTGCACTGGATAGGGTCCGCGACACCCGAACACACCACTGTCCCCGCCACGCATACGTGTCGCGCGAGTATAATCCCAGAACTCAGGAAACTGAGGCAGGAGGATTGCGAGTTGAAGACCAGCCTCCGGTACACTAGCCTGGGCCGCGTCATGAGAACTTGTCTCAAACATATATGTATGCACATAAAACACACTGAGGCCAGTAGTGCTGCCCACACGTGCGTGGATGTCGGAACATCCACACCAGGTTGACCTAGCGTCAGCCAGACGCCCAAAGAAAACCGAATCTCCTCCCAGACGCACCCTCAACTGTTCAGTTACCCAGGAGGCTCGGGAGCCAGTTCCCACCGTGCGGGTCCGAGTGAATTGGGTTTTATTTATTTATTTTTAATATTTTGTTTATTATTTTTGTTTTATATTTCATTTGTTATCTTTATTTTATGCGTGCGCGTGTATTGCCCGCATGCATGTGAGCGCACCGGTGTCGTGCAACGCCGCGGAGGTCAGGAGAGGGCGTCGGATTCTCCCAGACCTGGAGTTAAGGACGGTTCGTAGCCGGTGTGTGGCTGCTGGGACTCGAACCCGGGTCCTCTGCGAGAGCAGTCAGTGTTCTTAACCGCTGAGCCATCTCTGCAGCCCCTATGAATTGGGATTTAAATCCTATCGTCTCCAAGTCTTCCTGTCTATGGATCAGCGATCAGGCATCGGTCCCGAATGTACCGATCACCTACCTTCCTATCGATCACCTATCAATTATCTATTATCGATCATCTGCCTCGTCTACATATTATGTGCCATCGTCTCACCGTCAATACCCAGGCCTCGGAGTGTGGCCTCCAGACCTAATCGTCCATCCACGCACTGCATCCACCCGACAGTCCGGCCGTTGACCAGTGGTCACCTGTCCACCCACCGTGAATGGACCCGTACATGGGGCATCCGTGCGTGTATCCATCCATGTATCCGTCATCCATTCATACGCCTGACTAGACGCCCACCTGTCCACGAGCAACCCACCCACCCTCCATCCACCATCATCCTCACCATCGTCAGCACCACCATCAGCACCATCATCACCATCATCCCACCATCACCAGCATCATCACCACCATCACCACCATCACCACCATCACCACCATCACCACCATCATCATCATCAGCATCATCACCACCATCACCACCATCATCACCATCATCCCACCATCACCAGCACCATCACCGCCATCATGGCCATCACCATCATCCCCGTCGTGCACCGCGCCCCTGCCCCCTTGCAGCTGTCTGCCAGCTCCCCGGGAAGCCGGTCGTCGGGGCTCTTCACTGGCCCCGAGTCTGTCCACTAGGTGTCAGTCCGCACCTCCGCCGGGGCCGCCGCTCGCTGTGTCCTGCCCTGGGGAGGCCCCGTGACTCCGTGGGTTCTGAAGGTCGCGACCTGTGGACTCCTCAGCCAGGCTCTCTGCCCAGTTCCCCTGAGCCTCAGCGTGCTCATCAAGTCGCCGCGTCCACCCGTCCCCTCCACAGAAAAGTCTGTCATCCAAAAAGATCCCTGCTGCATGTCACTGCGCTCCAAGCAGAGTTCTTCAAAAGAAGGGCGTGGGAAGGTGCCGTGCTGGTTGTTAAGTCGCCACATCAAGCGGAGTGCAGAACGCAGGAGTCTCTGCGGGTCACGGGTTTGCACACGGGCCGCATCGAACAGCAGTCCTAATAGATGCCCCCGTAAGTGCCACAAACACCTGTCATTCACACAGTACGGGTTACACGTATGCGAAAGAGGAAACATATATATCAATGAACAATCTCAAATTCCTATTTATCATTCCCTATAGTGACAGGTGTGTCTCTTTACGTCATAGGTGTGTGTGCAGAGTATGTGTGCGTGTGCACATGCACACACACGACACATATGCAGAGGACCCGCTGGGTCGCTGCAGAAGATGATGACGTACTAGGTGGCCGTGTTGCTGAGGTGCTGTGGTGTGTGACGCTGACTTCCAGCTGTGGGGTCAGGCGTGTGAGGTTGGGAGGGGCCGGTTGTGGCTTTGCACGGGGCGTCAGGTGGTGGTGAACCAAAGACCTGTGGTTGGCCACCGGGGCTGAGGTTGACCTTCCCGGGGACCCTGTGTCGTCGGGCCTCGAGATGGACGGAAACAGGCGCAAACGGACACGCTCGTGCAGAGGACCGGGGTTCGAGTCCCAGCACCACGTGCCAGCCGGTGACCAGAAGTTCAGTCCAGGGGCTGCGAGGGCCTCTTCTGAGCTCAGCGGGCACATGCAGGCAGGCAGCGCAGACCGCACACTCCATCCATCATCCATCATCACGATCCTCCATCGTCATCATCATCCACATGTCAACCATCGTCCACCACCACCACCACCACCAGCATCATCATCATCACCCACCCATCACCACAACCAGCATCATCAGCATCCATGTAGACCCCATCATGGAAGGCACTGGTGGTGAAATGGCAGACTATCAACAGAGACCCCGATGCCTGGTGGGAGGCTGTAGATGCCCAACAGACGTGGTGGTACTCGGCAGATGCCCAGCAAATGACTCGAACCCAGTGGTAGATGATGGAGTCCCAGTGGGAGATGATGAATCCCCAATGAGAGATGATGGTTACCCAGAAGAAGATGGTGGATAATTAACAGATACTGTGAATGATGATAGACTATGGTGACAATATATTTGTTTCATAAAAGCCCAAAAGATGGCAGGTATGGTGGCGCACGCCTTTAATCCCAGCACTCGGGAGGCAGAGGCAGGCGGATGTCTGTGAGTTCAAGGCCAGCCTGGTCTACATAGTGAGTTCCAGGACAGCTGGGGCTACAGGGAGACCCTGTCTCAAAAAGACCAAAAAAAAAAAAAAACTCATTGAAATATAGACAACCATGAAAGTTAGCCCCAGGACTTCATCATCCTCCATCATCATCATCATCATCATCATCATCCACCCATCACCACCACCTTCTATCTATCAATCGATCTTCTATCTTTCTGTCATCTATCATCTTTCCAATGTATCATCTATCTTTATCTATCTATCTTCCATCTATCTATCTATCTATCTATCTATCTATCTATCATATATCTATCTGTCATCTATCATCTATCTATCTATGTATCATCTGTCTATCTGTCTATCTATCATCTATCTATCTATCAATCATCTATCTATCATCATCTATCATCTATCATCATTTATCTATCATCATCATCTATCATCTGTCTACCATCTATCTCTCTATTATCTATCTATCTATCTATCATCTCTCGCTATCATCTATCTATTATCTATCTATCATCTATCATCTCTGTATCGTCTATCTACCTATCATCTATCTATCTATGTATCATCTAGCTAGCTAGCTATCAATCATCTATCTATCTGTTGGTCTATCTATCTATTCATTTTTGAGACCAGATCTCATGTAACCAGTTGCAATCCATATGTATCCAAAGACGATCTTGAACTGATTCTTCTGTCCCCGTCTCTCAACCGCTCAGACTCCAGGCCTATACCACCATGCACAGAATATGCAAAGTATTTAACCATTCAATGTCTGAGACACACAGTAAATAATTATTGTTTCATTATAATGGGTACTCAGTGCTGATGGGAGCTAGCCAACGCATTATTACTGATCTCTAGGTGGGAGGAAAATAGACTAACAGATGAAGAAATAGTTTTCCCAAAAGTAGTAAGAAAGGTGTAAGTTATGACGTCAAACTGGATCATAGAAGAAATTCAGAAAAGTTAACGGAACTTCCCAGAACATACCTTCGGCAGTTGAAAATTATGTACGGGAGCAGAAACCAAACGAGTGGATGGGACAATGAGATAATTTATTTTCTTGCACAGAGTGACCTAAATGAAGACAGGTTGCCTGAAATTACCACGCAAACAAAAATTAGTGCATATTTGAAACGATCATGAGAATATGAAGAAGGCCAGGATGGGAATAATCAAAATAAACGTGCTGTGATTCGGCAAGTTATTTCTGTAACCGTAATCAGCAGGTCAATGCAAATGAGTAGAGTTTGACACGATTAAACCTTGAGAAGGTGTGAAATCTTCCAAAAGCATCTTGTCAAACGATCTAATGGAATTTAAAAGGTAGAAAGGAATCCTATATTTATTTCTGTAACCGTAATCAGCAGGTCAATGCAAATGAGTAGAGTTTGACAGATTAAACCTTGAGAAGGTGTGAATACTTCCAAAAGCATCCTGTCAAACGATCTAATGGAATTTAAAAGGTAGAAAGGAATCCTATACCGTGTTCCTGTATCAGCCCCTAAAAGGTGAATTTACCTCCTTCAGGGTTGTAGCGAGGCCAGTTGTGTACGGACGTTTTGGGACGGTTCATGAAATAAGTATGGAATTATTTTTATAAACAAAAGCAGCAAAGAAAGACTTGGGAGATAAGAAAAAATAGCATCTAAAAAAGACCATGTCCAGCAAAAAATTAACATTGCTTAGGAGTAACGTCCCCCCCCGCAGCTAGGTTGAAAATATGATAGGAGTGGGATTAAAATTACATGTCATGCGCTCCTGTTCAGATATTGTATGTGGATTCTTCAGTAAGTTTTTAAATTAATACATTTTCCTCTGGTTTTTCACATGGTCTAAGCTTTACTTTCCTGAAGGCTACATCCCAGGAAACATTGTGCCAGACAGGAGGAATCTCCCTTGTGCCTCAGGGAAGTCTTAAGACACTCCAAAAATAACAAACTATTGACACAGCCCTCCTTGGCCTCGCAGAACTCGAAGATAAGACCCTGTTGGCAAAGACAGAACGCACTCCTGACAGAGGACTTGGAATGATGGAGCTGGAGCTGATCTGGAAGCCTCCTCTCTCAAGACCAGCTCTGATTTTCCTACAGAACACCGGGTAACCTGTTAAGGGAGAAAATCAATCAGTGGTGGAACCCCACCTTTAACGCGTAATAACCACAACAGTGACGGGCATCGCAAACTCGACGTGTAGTGGCGGCCGTTTTACCTTTTACCACAGCTATGTAATGGTACTTAAAGCCCTCTTGATGGGAGGGGACTCATATGTGGCACTGTCAACACAGCCAAATATAAAGGACTGGAGAGGCCTTAGGTCCTAGGGAAAACCTCTGTCACAACCCTAAACAAATACCATTTCTTGTCATGTGCTAAATATGTGTCCTTTCATTTACAGACAAGTACAGCACCCCACTCATCAAAGAAGCTTCTCTTAGCAACAGATGGAGACTGTTTCTGAGTTCTACAACTGGTCACACAGACAATAATTTTCTATGAGATGCCCAGCCCTAAGTGACAGATCTACAATGGACCCTCTGCACCTCAGTTCACAGAGCGTGACGTAGACACAATACTCATGCATCTCCCAACTCTCTCCAGTGAATCTTCCTCATCCATCAGAAGGTGATGTATACAGAAGTCACAACCGGCCAAAGTGTAGAGAAGAACAGACCACGTCCCTGGATCGGGCTCCTTTATTAAACCTCACCGATCCGTGACTCGTGGACCATCGTGAAAGAGGAGCCGGAGAGATCCTGAGAACCCGAGTTGGTGAATGATCATAGTGAAGCGGAGTCTTCCAGGCCTCTGGGAACTTGCTCATATGAATGCATAGCAATGACGGCACAAGATCCATGCAAACTCCATAGGGAAAAATCTAGAACAGAACAGCAGGTCCCAAAATTAGCTTAGAAAGTGTTGACACCTGACTATTGCTCGGTGAGGGAGAGTTGATCTTCCTTAAGGTAGTGAGTCTAGGTATGCTGACTAGACTCCGGTAGACTCTCACTGAGGGACATCTGGGGTCACAGACCTTCAAGGACGGAGTCTCCTACCTGACCCTGGAGTTTTTGTTTGATAATCCATGGCTTTGGGGCAGCGTTAACCTACCCCGTCAATTAAATAACAACTTCAATTAAATACCATTTCCCTTTCCTCCCGCGTGCTGCGACGTTACCCTGTCGTCCTCTGTTATGATCTCCCTCTTGAAATGAAACTCTGTAGTATCCTGGCTTGTATAGGTATTCAAAATTAAATACAGAAATCTGCAGCCTTGAAGCTAGGTTCCCAAATGAGAACGACCACGTGGTATTTGTTTTTGTGGGTGTCAGTTACCTCACTCGGTATAATTCTGTTCAATTCCATTTATTTACCTATATTTATTTATTTATGTATTATGTTTTTATTTATTATATTTATTTATTTTATTTACCTATAAATTTCACAATTTTATTTTTTATATTGGAGTAAAATTCAATCGTACGTATGTATCACATTTTTATTATCCATTCATCAGCTGATGAATATCTAAACTGATACTGTTTCTT